GAGCCATGGGCTTATCTTAGAACCATAGTAGCACTTTAAGAATCTCAAACAATGTAGAACTATAGAATTTTAGAAAACACAAACTTAAAACTGGTGAGCCTTACTCGCTATGTTAGAATAGAACACTCTGAGAAAGATCCATGCAATCTTACGATCTTAGCCTCCTAAAATGATACATTCTCAAAATACTAGACTCGGGCTGAGGCCGTGGCGCACTCGGGAGAGTGCGGCGCTGGGAGCGCAGCAACGCTCCCGCTGCGGGTTCGGATCCTATATAGGGATGGCCAGTGCGCTCACTGGCTGAGCGCGGTGTGGGCGATCTCACAAAAAGACAAAAAAAAAAAATACTAGACTCAATGGTGATAGTCAAAAAATTTAATAATAGGTTTGGCAATGACCAATCAGAGAGGCAGTGGGACTGAGTGTCAGTCCTTCTGAGACTTTTCCATCGTAGGGCCTTAGAGTCTCAGAATTGTATGTTCTTAGCACTACAGAACCATTATGTGGTCCAAAATGGTTAAGTCACTTCCCCAAAGTCAACACAGCTAGTGAGGAGCAGAGCAGGGATTCAAAGACAAGCAGTCCAGCTCCAAAGTTTGTGCTCTGTCCCCACCCTGTCCTGATTCCCAGCCTGGGGTTCTTCAGCTGAAGTCCATGCCCCTCACTACCCCTCTCCTCTCTCCAGGGACTTCTGCCTGGGGTGAGCCCTCTGTGCCCTCTGCAGCTTCCTTCCAGCCCGGGCACAAGAGAACACCTTCAGAGGCTGAGCGATGGCTGGAGGAGGTGTCTCAGGTGGCCAAAGCCCAGCAGCAACAGCAGCAGCAGCAGCAGCAGCAGCAACAGCAGCAGCAGCAAGCTGCCTCAGTGCCCCCGGTGCCCACCATGCCCCCTGCCCTGCAGCCCTTCCCTGCCCCTGTGGGGCCCTTTGATGCAGCACCTGCCCAGGTGGCGGTGTTTCTGCCACCCCCTCACATGCAGCCCCCTTTCATTCCCACCTACCCGGGCTTGGGCTACCCACCCATGCCCCGGGTACCCGTAGTGGGCATCACACCCTCACAGATGGTGGCCAACGCTTTCTGCTCAGCCGCCCAGCTCCAGCCCCAGCCAGCCACCTTGCTTGGGAAAGCTGGGGCCTTTCCGCCCTCTTCTGCACCTAGTGTCCCTGGGGGACAGGCCCGCCCACGCCCCAACGGGGCTCCCTGGCCCCCAGAGCCAGCACCCACCCCGGCCCCTGAGTTGGACCCCTTTGAGGCCCAGTGGGCAGCATTAGAAGGCAAACCCACTGTAGAGAAGCCTTCCAACCCCTTCTCTGGTGACCTGCAGAAGACCTTCGAGATTGAACTGTAGCCCAAGCTGCCCTGCCCACCCCGTCATCTCCAGGTGCCCCACACCTGGGAGTGGGGGCACAACCTCTCCCCTAGTCCTGCTCCCTGGGACTGTGCCCCTCAACACCCCCCAACCCCTTCTCTCAACCACCCCACCACCACCACTACAGAACCAACATGGTGATGCCCAGGTTGCGACAGGATGGGGTTCAGGGATGGACACAGCCTGGCTAAGGGAGCCATTTCACTGCCAGACTTAGGCTGGCAATGAACCCTTCCCCCACCCCAGGCACAGGGGATGGCCAGCATCCCACTGAATGCCCTCAGTTCAAGCCACATTTCCCAGTTTCTGTTGTTGACCTTCCACCTTCCAGTGTTGGGCAGATGGAGAAGGGATGCCGATTTCGGGGCTCTCCTGGGCCCCACACGTGCCCACCCAAGTTTGGTCATCTCCTTTCCACATACACAGCACAAGCTAAGGGCTTCCCTCTGCCCACCCGCTGCGTTCACTGCCAATGCTGTGCTCCCCTGTATAGCCCTCTCCCCCCCACTCTGGGGCCCATGTCTTCCTTGGGCCAAGGTCTCATGGGGGCAGGGCCAAGTGGGTTCCCAGGAGGTGGGGAAGGGGGGAAGGGAAGAAGATGCTCAGTTACCTCACACTCAGTGCCCGCTGGGGACGGTCCGGGAGGAAATGGAAGGGGTGCCTGGCGGGTACTTTTCTATCTTTTATTTCCAGATTTTTTTTGTATCTAAACTTGCAGATTTGTATTATACAAGGACAGCCAATAAAGGAAGAGTATAATGGTGTCCCTGGAAAGCAGGGTGTGTGTATAGAGGTGACAGTGGCCACAGAGCCCCTTCCTCCTGAGTCATCTACTAAAACAAGAGGGAATAAAAAGGGTCTCCCTGAGTAATACCCTCTGAGTCATCACATGGTAACAGGTACTGCTGACTCAGCACCTGTGAGGTGGGTACGAAAGGGAGCCAAAAGTCTCCCCATCTCCGTTCCTTATGGGTTTTGAACCAAGGAATAAAAGACATAAATTATAAGCTACTGCTAATTAGCGCTTTATCAACATTTTAAATAACCAGGTTTGTAATAGTATATTTTTTTTGTTTTGTTTTAATAATATATTTTATTTAATCTATTATATCTAAAATATTAATTTCAACATATAATCAATATGAAAAATTGAAATATTTTACAATCTTTTTTTTTTTTACTAAGTCTTCAAAATTGTAATAGTATATTTTTGACCATGCCGGCAAATTCTTGTTTCCTCAGTTGCATTTTCCATAACTCAGGCCATAGTTTCACCTGATGTGGCAACATGTTATTTTGAAGTCTCTCTATTGTTTCTTGGGTCCCTTGAAATAATCTATAAAATATGTTTTTAATATATATATATAAATTATATGTTTAATGCTTTATAGCTTTTTAAAATGAGGCGATTGATTTTGTGCAGCCCATTTGATTGATGGAGAAGTGAAGTCACTTGCCCACAGACATACGCCTGATTAATGGGGGAGCTGGGATTCAAACCCAGCGTCTGGCGGATCTCAAGGCCAGTCATTAAACCACACAGCTATGAGAAACACACCTAGGATCTGCCCTCAAGAGTTTCCATTAGCCGGCTCATGGAGTCCAGGGCTAGGGGACCTGTGATAGCTCCATCAGGGCATGAGGGATCCTGAGGGAGGGAGCTGGAGATGAGCCACACTTGCCCACCTCCAGGCCC